TATTTAAGACATTTACTTAAAATTATATTTTTACTATATTTATGATTTTAATATGATATAATTTTTTATTTAAAAAATATATTATATTTAATGCATTTTTGTCAAAATCACATATGATTCATAAGAATTAATATCACATATGATCGGTACATAAAATTGTATATCATGTGCCAACCAACTATACTTGATACCAATTAAATTGGTATAAATTTCTTTTCGTTTGGTACATGTTAGTACGGTATTATCCCAACATTGCAAAAGTTGAGGTCTCAAATTTATTTATATTAACGTCTTAACTAACTAAATCTAGATGCACTAAAACCCTCGAACATTCAAACAACATTGATACGATACATACATTACTAGTAGTCTAATACAAGCGGCGGTGGATCCTGGAGGTGTAGACGAGTTACTAAAGTTAGGGTTAAGCGAATGAATTCAATCAGTTTTTATGTATCTATCTATAGTATAATTTAGTAAATATGAAAATAAGATATCAAAATATGTTATATTATTGATTAAATTTTAATTAATAAAAAATTAAAAAAATAAGTTGGTATCGTACATTATGGTATTACCGTGTTACACAACTTCTAATACCATACACCAGTCAAGTTTTGATAGTTGATACAGTACTACCGACCAAATTGGTAGAGTTGGTACGAGAATTGGTTGGTTTGTCTTGATAAGAAATTGACACCCCTAAACTTAACACTTATCAATTAGTTTATTAGCTAACAACTAGTTCGGTAGACGTAGCCCAAATATATCGATGTAGACATATACCGTTACTTGCCTCCGTTTTTTGTCTTTCAAATAAAATTGTGATCCATTTTTCAAGGTATTACTTATGAAAGAACTTTCGCCACATACTTTTGGAGGAGTGTTCGAAATTTTCACACACTTGACTTTGATATTTGTAAGAATGTGACGATATGTTTTCAAATACAAGTAGTGAAAATATTAGTACATAGAATTATGTCAAGTCTCGTTTATCAAACATCAACAGTAACGAGATTGTTAGGTGTAAATAAACATAAGTACGTCTTGAATTGCGGTAATATGATCTCCTACGTATCAACGAGTGATTAATTATGGGAACGAGTCAGAAAATACAACAATTACA